TTTTTTTGGTACAGTGACCTTCTGGTTTTCGGATCCACATGGACGACTAATCCGGTAACACTGCTACATTCCCAGGGCTCGAACACGAGACCACTGATTAAGCTGGAACCCAAACCATCTCATCCAAGCGAGTTTTGTCTTCCTGATTTCAATGCCTTATAACTCAATATAAGCTTTCAGTAACTACTAAACCGTCACACCATTGTGGTGATTATGGCCACTTAAAACATTCTTAATTAAAGGGACAGGGACAAATGACAAAAATAATCAATGAGTTAAACCAAATAATAAAACTGAAATTTTGAAACTACAAACATTCACATTGATGAAATGTACTCGGTTTTGCTGTGGAGTCATCCATAGTTATCCACAAATGGTGAATTCACACGTGTCCTGCAATAAATACATATTTGACGCATGTCAATACATAGGCCGTGATCGGAATAAATATATCTGCTTAAAACGATTTTTTATGTTGTTGTTAATTCGAAAAAATTTGCATGCTTAGTTGTTAGTGGAATTTTGAGTTTATATTTAAAGAATATTTAAAATAAATATAAAGTTAACTTGATGTGAAGTATGACAGAGAATATGTAAACTAATTATTAGTTAAAATTATGTGACTAAATAAACAATGAATTGTATTATGTGATGTGTAATGATGTTGTTTAATATTATTTTGTTGAATTTATAGTAATTATTAAAACTAAGAGGAAGGAGTGTGGTCCCACCAAGTAAAGTGCACCATAAAAAGGTGAGTCTAGCTGAACTTTACAGAGGTTCCATTCCAAAATCATTTATTAGTGATGGGAAGAGTAGTCCATTAGGTTTATATACTAGGTTCATTTTCCGTATAGAATCAATGTGAGACATCTCACAAGTGATATTCAAATACGCTTCCTCACTTGTAAGTCATTCGTAAGCTCAAGCTCACAGAGCAGGCCGAGTAGAGAGATAAACCCTAGCCCAGATCAGGCCGATAAAATCATTGCAGGTCCTAAAAGATGTCCGCTCTATACCTACAGAACCGAGGGAAGAGAGTGCAGTCCCACCAAGTGAAACGTACTATAAGAGAGTGAGTCTAGGTGCACCTTAGTAAGGTTTCATCCCAAAATCAATTAGTAATGGAAGAAGTAACCCACTAAACTTATATACTAGATTTATTAAATATACGCCATCCTCTATTTATCTACGTTTTTTTTATATTACATGTTGCTTCCCAAAATTTATTGATTTATCTCCTCAAACCTTATACTTTTGCATATTTATTGTATCCCTTTACCCCTATCTTATGGTTATTAAATATTCGAGTAATCCTCAATATAGTTTACAAATTATTAACGAGGTGGTCTAACAGTTGTACGAGTTGGATCCTCATATCTTTTTAACAAAAAATAATATTTTTCAATAAAATATTATATTTTTATTTATCTTAATACGACATTTCAGTTTAAAAGTATATATACATTTGGAAATGTCTAAAAGTATATATACATTTGTTAAAAGATGTAGTTGTCTAATAGTTTTTTTTTTCCTAATTAAACGAGACTTTAATAGTTGAAGTGGCAAAATAATAACATAGAAAAAATTTACACTCTAACACACGTGTTACATATCAAATGAATTTTATGAGTTATCCACCGCTAAAATAAAAACAAGATTGGTCAAAATATAAAAAAAAAATAATAATTTGGGGCCCTTGTTTTTTGTTGAAGGCAAGGCAAAAACACCACACAAAGTTTCCACTTGTGCTGACAATTATACCCCTAAAATATGTGGCCATGAAGTTCACACAAACACAATTAATTAAGTTGCAGGGGGACTTCATATGGAATTTAAGTATACTTAGGTAAGAAAATAATTTCCACTACTAAATTTAATTACTTCCTATATATATTTTTAATATGCAGATTTTTGGCTTTGTATACTTGGCCAGTGGAGTCTTTCCACGTAATTGCATCTTATAGGGATAAAGGAATCAATAAGGTAAATGAATAAGTGTTGATACTCGTGTGATGCACGGGATGCAATAAAAAAAAATATTTTTTATTTAATACTATAAAATTATTTAAGACAATATGAAATTATATTCCACAATATTCTATTCAGTAATAACATGATATTTATTTATTTACTATAATTGTTAATTCCTATTTTTATATATATTTTTTTGTAGTTTTTTTACTGTTTAATATATAAATTTTAATATTTATTAGTTTATGAAATATTATAAATGTATAAGATCATATGATATTTTGCATACAAGTTACTTGTACGTACTTATAAAATTGTCATTTACTATAGTCTTATAATTTTTTTTAACAATTCATAATTTGCACAGAATAATTGATAGAAAGATATTTTGATGATCAAAAAAATGAGCGAAAAAAAAAAGACAGGGGCAAAGGATCAAGCGCTTTGACTTTGTCTCTCGGTACATCGAGAATTTAAGTATTGGATACGTCATTAGTCCGATCCTTTGTAGGAACTACCCGTAATGACCAGCTTGCAAAATGGATCTGTTTATCATAAAGAGATTCGTCGTTCCTGACCCTGCTTCACCTTCATTGTTATTTGAACAAGTAAAAGTTCTGTCTTGGTCCGAGTGGGGATAACATTTCTCTTCTGCATGTCATGGGCGAACGACGGGAATTGAACCCGCGCATGGTGGATTCACGATCCACTGCCTTGATCCACTTGACTACATCCGCCCACTACGATGACTAACTGAACTTATGAAATTCTTTAGGATTTCTCGTTAGCTGACTGAGAGAGGTGAGGATCGCAAAGTGAGACTCAACAAACTTTTCGAAGCGAAATTGACAAACACTTAACCCATAATAGTTATCTTCTGCTATAATTATTAAGTGCATTAAATGTTAAAAATTTTGATAAATAAATTTTAATTTTTAATAACTTTAATCCTTATGCAACACACAAAATTCTTATGGTTAAATATTTTAATTTTATGTTCTTATTTTTTATTTATATTATTCTTTTAATTCATTTTTCAACTATATAATGAGTTACATAGTATTTATCGAATATTTAGATATATTATATATTTCCATAATTACCAAGCGCTATAATTTAAATTATTATACATTGATTTTTTTATTAACTTATTTTTCATTTATAAGATAGTATATAAGAAAAAAAATATTTTTTAAAACTGAATAGTTTTTTAATGTACATAGATACTTCTAAGGTGACATTTATAATTCTGAATATAGCATCCGACCATCAAATTTTATTTTTATTAGTATATTATTTAAAATTTTATTTTAAAATATTTATTAAGTTTAAGCATAGTGATTCTGATTATCTTTTTAAATATTTTAAGTACTTCTAAATAGTAAATATAATTAATTAAATTAATACCTACAGTCATAGATGATAATATACTTAATCAAATCAATTTCTATAATAATATTTTGAATTTTGTTATTAATTACTATTAAATTAATATAAAATCTTATTGAAAATATATCTACTAAACCTACATCTACGGTCAAAATTTCAATTTAAGACAATTTGTAGTTAATGAGCAATAGTCATTCAGTGTATAAAAATTAATTATGTTTTTCATGTATAAGATTTGCTAATAAATAAAAATTAATTAAATGCCAAATATAGACGAAAAAATTTCCCGCCCAAAATCATGTCAATTATGGCAATAAAGATTAATCCATTATATAGATATAGATATAGATATCAGTCGTTTTAGAAGTAGAAATGAATAAAAAATGCAAAATTATGAGTTAAAATGAATTAACATTTGACAGGAGACCAACATACTATATATTATGAGGTGATATTACGGTCCCGTTACAGAATTATTCTGTTGGGGTTATAACCGTCAAGAATAGTTGATCTAACGGTTACAAATCTCGACGGAACGATTCCATAACATTACCCTATATTATGAAATATGATATTAAAAATTACAATCTTTGATTTTTTGGCAATAACCAATTCTTTCAATTTAATGAGGTCAGTTTCGTGTATTAAATTTAATATATATCCACTCATGAATGCTTAGCT